CTGAACCAGCTTCTGGCTCGAGTCTCTTCCTCTTCCTCCCCGCTGAGGCCAGATTCTCTTAAATAGTGGGTCGTCCGTTCTCATCATGGACAGTGTTGGGTCTTGAGATGATGAACTGCTTCTGTTTAAATGAAATCTCTTTCCCGCCTCTGATCATGCTTTCCTCTCAGATTCTGGACTGTGCTCCCATGTGGCCACAGCTGGAGGACCTGTGTGTGGAAGAAAACAGCATTACAGAGCTGCAGAGGTAACACTTTATCATCATCATCATCTTCTGTGCCCTGCTTTGCCTTTACGTGTGTGTTTTCACTCAGAGCTGCCTGAAACCAGCTGTGCTGTGTGTGTTTAAAGGCCTGAGGGACGGCTGCAGTCGCTGAAGAGTCTGAGTTTGTCCAGTAATCCTTTGGTGCAGGACAGCGTGCTCAGTTTATCTGCTCTGCCCAGGTACAGTACCAAGTGTCAGCCGCGCGTCGATGTGCTGCACGTGTTTGTGTCCAGTGTGAGTTCATCCATGCAGACTTGTGATGCAGAAACGTTTGCAGCGTCACTGTCAGTTAAGCTGATGCTGAGCAGCATGCGAGCATGAACACTCGCAGTGAGGACTGCTCCGCCCTGCAGCAGCACGAGTGGGAAACATTTAACATTTAAATATCATAGAAGGTGTTTGAGGTTCCATCACTGAGTCGGGTCATGTCTGTACATGTGTGCTGCGCTCAGCTGTGAACCCTGTTTCTACACTGCCATCCTCAGGCCTTTTACTGAACTGCAGTCCTCTGCATATTTAGCTAGCTAGCTCTAGCTCATGTTAGAGCAGCGTCTTGTCAAAATATATGGAAACAACTGTGTTGCTAGGCAACCCAGCGGCCACAGCAGGGATTTTGCCCCGTCCCCTGCAGCTCTAGGTGGACGTGGTGATCCCACACATCCCAAAACCCAGTACTTGATTTTAGGAGGGATGTTTACGGTGTTTGCACCATAGTCACAGTTTTCTGTTTGTTGTTTAATAAAAGCAGCTGGACTGAGTCTGCTGTGTTTCTCGTGGCAGGCTGGAGCAGCTGAATCTATCCAAGACCGGACTGTCTGTCATTCGGTTTGAAGATGCTGCCCCCGGTAACGACAGTTTCCAGCCTAACAGCTGTTGTCCTTTTGTGTAGAACAGCTTTCTGTGCGACTGCAAACGTGTCAGTGACCGTCTCTGCTCTGCAGGGTCGCACACAGCCATGTATGCAGCGCTGAAGAATCTCAACCTGGACCACAACAACATCACTGAGGTCAGTGTGTTCCTGCACACGGCTGCGGATGGTTAACCAGAACTGTGACCGACGTCTCACTGGAACAAACACCTGAAACATTATTCTGTGGTTACAAAACTAACAAACATCAAACATGCCAGAAATAACTTTAGCTTCAGTTCAGTGAAAGGTGTTGCCATAGAAACGGTCAAGAGCTGCGACTGTGTCTGTTTGTGTCGTTGTAACTGTTGTTACACGGTGTGAAGCCAGTCTGTGAACTGTGTGTAACTCTGCAGTGCTGTGGGTGAAGGCTGTGACACAGCAGCTCGTCTGAGCTACAGTGACTGCGTGTTTTACACAATCACGCTGTTACATCCAGTGCGGTCTCCATGTCGCGCGGGCTCGGTCGCGTCATTTTGTTCTTCTGTTCAGCTTCATGATTGGACGTTATTTAAAATAAACTCTACTCAGGAAGTGTTTCTCTCTTTCTCACTCAGTGGTTTGTGGTGGACGAGCTCGCCAAACTTCCCAGTTTGGTCCGGCTTTCTTGCCGTGGCAACAAGCTAGTGAGCAGGGATGGAAACCCGAAAACAGCCAATCAGATGCTGATCGCTAAACTGGGACAGCTGGTCGTGCTGAACGGCTGCGAGGTGAGCTCGATGTTTGTGAGACTGATGCTTTGGAAACGTGCGGACGCCGTGTCCTGACACGTCTTCAGATTAGAGCCCCGCCTCTTGTCTATGAGTTCTGTCCTGTGCTCAAGCTGCTGGGCTTTCCTGCAGATTCACGCTGACGACAGGAGGGGAGCGGAGCTCGACTATATGAAGATGTTTGGCGAGGAGTGGCTAAAGGCGGGTGGGCGGAGTCAGCCCAGCCCTCAGTTCATCTGTGAACACCCTCGTTATCAGGCCCTCATCAGCAGTAAGTCACGCTGTGGTCAGATGACCTGAGACAGCTTTACTATTACTGACATGGTCTCCGTCACTAACTCCGTGCTCCTGTTCTTCAGAGTATGGCGCTCCTGAGGACGGCGAGCTGAGGAAGCCGGAGCCTTTTGCCCTGAAAAATCAGCTGTTAAGTAAGTCCCGCCCCTTTCTGCTGTCTGAGTGGCTCCACGAATGAACGTGAATCAAAGATCACACAGTCTCATTGTCCTTCATCAGAGGTTACCTTTGTGTTTCCGGACGATGCTAACCGGAAACCTCTGGAGAAGAAACTTCCAGGTACGAGCTCAAAGCCTCGACTCTCATTATCAGCGCTCTCGTCTGTCTGTGGAGCTCCGCACATAAACAGTCATGTGTTTCTGTACTGTAGCCTCCATGGTGGTGCAGAAGGTGAAGGGCCTGCTGTACAGGCTGCTCAAGGTCCCTGCAGCAGATCTGAGGCTCACCTACACCAGCCCCAAGGTAGCACACTCAGTGAAGGCAGCAGCACACACACGTTCACCGGTTTTCTTGTGTTTGTGCCTCCATGTTCAGTCTGAGCATGCCACTGTGGGACAGTAAAATTGAAGCGCCTTGAGGCGACTTTTGTTGTGATTTGGCGCTATATAAATAAAATTGAATTGAATTAAAATGTTCTTGCTGTTACAGATGGTGGGGACAGAGTTCGAGATCGACAGTGACCTGAAAACACTGCAGTTTTACTCCATAGAGGATGGAGACCAGGTGCTGGTGCGCTGGTCCTGACCCAGTCCAGGTCAGGAGGAGCAGAGGAGAGAGCTGTTGAAATGAGATGGAGACTCACACGAGCTGCTTCTGTGCACAGCTGCACGCCGCTGCATTTGTTGATGCCTCATTTCAAACGTGGCAGACACATTTTATTTTTGTTGTGGTTCCTCTGACGCTGAAGGTGCCTCAGAGGAGGTGAGCATTACAGGCTGAGGTGCAGACTGAACCATGAAATGTTGGTGTCTGGTCTGTAAATGCAAACAGCAAAGCTAATACAGTCCTACAGCCATGCTTAAAAATCAGTGGACAGTGTTTCAGTCAGGCTCAGCGTCAGCTGTGAATAAACCACCATGATCTTTATTAGTGTGAATGCTGATTAAACATCGACAGCACTGAGACTCTGTTTTTATTCATCCTCCTCTTTGGCACATGTTCATAGTTTATTTATTTCTATAGCACATTTAATCACAACAGGAACGTCGACCAAAGCGCTGTGCAAGAATACAACATACCAAGGTAACTTATAATATTGACAGCAAACATCAAATATGAATTAGCAAATAACTCTCACGCTGTATTAAAAGCCAGTAAATACAAATGTGTTTTAAGATTTAAAACGATTGACAGCAGGAGCCTGTCTGATGTGTAGTGATGTGAAATTACTCCACAGCTTAGGCGCTACGACTGCAAATGCTCGACCGCCTCTGTGAACCGGCCTCGACCTTGGTACGGCTAAAAGCAAAAGATCACTAAAGAGGTCAGACAAACACCCGGGAGCCTGTCCATTCAGGGCTTTGTAAGTCAACAAGAACATTTTAAAGTTAATTCTGAAGCAGAGCCAATGAAGAGAGGCGAGCACGGGGAAATGTGTTCACATCTTTTAGTGTCAGAAGACGAGCTGCAGCCTTCTGGACCAACTGCAGTCTTGCCAGGCAGGTGTGGGTAACTCCAGCATATCAGGAGCTACAATAGTCCAGCTGGGATGTAATAAAAGCATCAAAGTTTTTAAAAGATAACAATGATGTCACCTTGGATAAAAGCCTCGGTTTGAAGAAAGAGCGCTGTACGACTGAGCTAATCTGTTTTTCAAAGGTGAACTTGCTGTCAAATATAGCCGCAAATCTTTGATAAAAGGCTCAAGACTGTGCAGGTTAAAATGGGAGGTGCTGGGATTGCTGCTTAGTCCAAAAAGATCACTTTGATTTTGTTCTCACTGAAGTGAAGGAAGTTAGAGGCCATCCAGGATGTAACGTCACCGAGACACTGAAGTTCTAGTGAGGCCGGACTGTTTCCCTTCAGCTGAAGATAGATCTGAACATAGACCCCACGAGGATGATGTATGTGTATGGAGGGAGCAATCATTCAAGACATCGCGTCAGAGGAAGGATTTCAAATTCAGTTTTGGAATCAACTGAAGCCAGAGAAGAGAAGCTGATATGGAAACACATTAGCTTCTCTTTCTAGTCCCTGTTAGTGCTCTCGTTGTGACAGTTTAACAAACTGAAGACTTTTCAGGACAATTATAGAAACACTAATATAAAACAATTACAATAGTCCAGCTGAGAAGTAACAAATACATGAAGTAAGCGGTCCCTCATTTATCGCAGGAGTTATGTTCTAAAAAAATCCTGCGATAAGTGAAATCCGTGACGAAGCCAAGTTGATTTCTTACAATTATCACAGGTGTTTAAGGCTGTGAAACCCCTCACTACAGGCATGAACATTGTCACACGTTTCTCTCTTCTTTAAACACTCTCAAAGTTCAAACCTTTGTAGAACAATAAGTCCAGTATTATAGACTGAAACCAAAGGCATCCGCAGGTGACGACGTTTCGTCAACATTGTTGTTTGTTGGGGAGAAAACGTACAAACATACAGTGCAGCACTTCAGAGTCACACTGCTAGGATCGAAGATTTATGTAAATGTGACAATCTGAACACACTCTGTACTGTACAGGAGACACGGCACGAGATTGACAATCGTCTACAGCCAATCAGGACGCAGAACACAATGCGCTGTTAAAAAATAAAAATAAAACAAAAAAAGCATGCAAAAAAATCCGCAAAACAGCGAGTCTGCGAAAGGTGAACTGCGTTATAGCGACGGACCACTGCACTTGGAGTGGCTCTTATTTATGCAACACTGATCAAGTGAAAGGAGGCTGTCCCACACATTTATTTACAGAGGGGTTCATCCTGGAGAGGAGTGTACCAGGTCACCAGTCTACTGTTCAATACAAAGATAGCAATAAAACACTTTATTGTACTTTATTGTACACACAGTACAGTTTGGGTTTTTTTGTTTCATACTGGAGATACTGCTACGATAGCATGTCACACCAGGTCTGTGGATGGTAATATTCAAATGAAATAACAATCTATGCCAATAAAGTTTTACACTGTATTTAGACATTACATGGACCACATCCTAAACATGGAAATTCAGCTGAATGTCCTGAATTTATCCAGTTTCAGAGAAAAAAAAATCCTGATTGTGATTTGATTAAATGGTTTGATGAACATGTTGGTTGTTAGGTCTTCCGTTCCTGAGGAAAATGGCTTCAAATAAGCGAGAACTTCAGTTACACCAGTTGTTTATCTTTAATCATCACTGAAAAATGGAGCAGAGACTGGAGGTGGAGTTCAACGGGAGCACTGTTTCCCACACCGTCACAGCAATCACCATCATCAGGTAGATCTCAGGCTTACATCAGCACCATTTAAACAAGAATACTGTTGGCATAGTGGGTAAATATTTACATTCATATAAAAATACACTGCGTGGTTTAGAACAAACAGAATAAATGTTTGTCACAGGCTCCCTGTTAGAGACCTGCAGACTTTAAAATCACTGAGTATGTTAGTCCTGCCGAAAAGTCACATTTCATCATGTAGGGTTGCTGAGCTATATAATCATGTCATGTTGGTTGAACTGAAGAAATGCTGCATGAAACTAACAGTTATTCCATTTGTTTCCTGTAAATGAAGCAGAAACACTAACTCACTAGTGTGAAAATCCAGGAGTCAAACCTGAGACATCAACGTCTAAAAAACCCGTCAAAGCAGGAAAACACTGTTCACAAAACTCGGAGGCACTGTGGTCACTAACTCCAGAAGAATATCTGACACAAAAACCTTTTAGAGCATCTATCAGAAAGCAATGAGCAGGCTGAAAGTACACAATATAAACTATAAACAACGGTACCTTGTCACATATTCATCACCCAATCAGGTAAATCTGTGTTTTTCACTTTGGACTGCAACAATCAGCAGATGTGAGAACCAGTGAGGACAGACACAGTGAGGTTTGAACAGCTTTCAAAAGCTCATAAGACTCTAAAATGACTACAGAAATGTTAAAGTTCAAGTAAGAAAAGTTGAAATCGTCACGTCGTCTTCAGCTCACAGGACCTTCTCCTCGCACTGACCGTCGGTCGTGTCCGGGCAGCGACAGGAGAGCCCTCCAAGCCGTGGCAGGCACAGGTGAGAACATCCGCCGTTGTCAGCGCAGTAGTTATACACTAAAGCATCGAAGGGAAGACAATGCAACAATGTCACAAAGGTCTTTACAGAAAGGCTTTTACTTTGACAGGACAGGAAGTCTGAAAGGCCATGGTGGCAGAGGACTGATGATGTCACCCATGTGCACCACTGTTACTGTCAAATGTCATTTTAGTTACATTGTATTCACATTAGAAGACCCTTATGAATAGAACATCGAGGGAACAGTTTACCCTGCCCTGGATAGGGTTACCGGGGCCCCGCCCTGGAGCCAGGCCCAGGGAGGGTGCCCGAGGGCGAGCGTCTGGTGGCCGGACCTTAGTCCATGGGGCTGATCTGAACCCGAGCGGTGCTTTGTTATTGGACTTCTGTGCTAATCACAGTTTGGCCACATAAGAGTGTCCATAAGTGCACGTGGCACCAGGACGCTCTAGGCCGTAGGTTGATGATCGATTTTGTAATCGTATCACCAGACCTGCGACCATATGTTCTGGACACTCGGGTAAAGAGAGGGGCTGAGCTGTCAACTGATCACCACCTGGTGGTGAGTTGGATCAGGTGGCGGGGGAGGACGCTGGACAGACCTGGTGCACCTAAACGCGTAGTGAGGGTGTGCTGGGA